TTTTGCGTCAATAAAGTAGCACTTTATTGTACTAGTAAAATAAAGTGCTACTTTATTTTACTAGTAAAATAAAGTACTACTTTATTGCCTACCTGGACTACCTGACAAGCTGAAACAGGTCATGACAACCTGCCAAGGTGAAACAGGTCCTGACAACCTGCCAAGGTGAAACAGGTATACCTACGCAAATTTTACTTTTTTCATTAAATTTTTTTCATTTTTAACAAAAACCAGTCATAATCGTACATAAAATCATGTATATAACGCTTACATAAACAGGCTTTATTGACTCATTATTTAATAGCCTCGCTCGCAAGCTCGCTCTGCCATAAAATTATTCGTACAATAAAGCCTTAGTTTATATACTTGTTATATAAATAGCTATTATATTTTAAATTTTCTATAATTATTCAGTCCATGTGGCGGCATCTATTGTCGGCTGAATGTATTATTTTATCGGCGACCTCGAGAATGGAGTACCTAGGCGTTTTCTTTTGTACTACCTAGATCTATTCGACGCCCAGTACTTAGTTGCTCTTTAACCTCGTTAATAGTTTTCGAACGTAGTAATTTTTACATAGTTGAGGGTCGACAGGTTGACAGTGTTTTTCTTCAGTACTGTCAAATGAAATCTATTTATTCCCGAAGAGAAAATTGAAAAGTCCCTTTTCTTATCTGGCCATTGCCTTGAGAGCTCGACTCTCAATTATTGTGGCTTCGGGGGCCAGTCATCTTTCGAAATAAATTATCGTTCTCGTGGAAAAAGTATCTTATTATATGAAATAACGTTGCCTAAGATAATAGTACATTGATTGACGAGAAAATTTAAGAAGAAAGTCATGTGATGTTTTATTCAAGTTTGAATTTCGGAACCCACGTGGGTTTTTCCGAGGGCCTATTTCTACCGTGGGCCTACTTTGACCTTCAAGCTATTTTCCTCAAGAGTTCCTTTTCTACTTCTACAAGCCCCATCTCTAGGCATAGAGCTCTTGAGTCCTGCATGTGTCAATTCCTGTATACTTGGCCAAACATAAAACTGGTACGCATTTTCCTATTGTGTTGCATTGTGTAAATCGACCTGTTTCATCACCTCAAAAATGACAAAAATAGTCAAGTCAGTGTCATATTTAAACCAATCATAACATAAAAACATGTTGCATTTACTTTTGTTCTGGTTTGACGTTGACAGAAACTGTCTGACCTAAGTTTTTCAGAACAGACTTCTTGTTGCCTGACTCACACTAGGCAAATTTAAAAAATATATATTGCCTGTACCAGTTTTATGTTTGGCTAAGTGTACATCTATCTTTGACGGAGAAAACTGAGCTTCTAGCCTCTATCTTTCAGGCTAGAATCTACGATTTCCAGTGACCATAATGACTGGATGGCTACCGACTACCATAATCTACCTTTCCGATGGAAGTTGGAATTGAGGCTTGTATAGAGTTTCGTTATTAACTTTTATATCTTTTTCTTCTTAATTCCGTTCTATATTCAATTAACATAATTAATTGATTACATTTTTACCGACATTACCTATAGATTTTTAAAAGTTTCAATTATCTTATCCTTGACACCAGAGTGAACTCTATTTTTTTAATTTTATTTTGCCGTATTTACCATAGATTATTTTTTACTTAACTTTTAGTACCGTTATATTTAAATATTGCCTTATATCTTATCTTTTCCTATTAATCATAATCATTTATTTGAACTGACGTCAAGGTTGTTCTAAATTTGAAATTATTGTGTAAGTACCTATAACGTCAAAAATTGATCAATTTTCAACCCTGGGTCCTACGACTTGTATATTTGCGGATTTCTCTTGAATCTCCAGACCATTTAACCGTTATATAGCCAGCCCAACTTTTGATTTCTTTCAGGTACAAATTGATTTTATCGAATTTATTTAATTTTTTTGTTGAACTTATATGGTACATACTATACTAGGTATATTTTATTATTATTTTTTTTTTTTTTTGAATTTGGTAAAACTGCAGATTGAAAGTTGACCTCTATTGGTTGATTTTATTTAAATTCTTTTATCAGTAATTGTGTACCACTTTGAAATTGGTTGGTTTTCAACCTCACTGTGAAATATACCTAAGTACTATTTCAATTTAAAACTTACTTAATTGTTTTATTGGTTTACCTAGGTTAAGGTTTGTTGAGCTGTGTGCATTATTTATTTCTTTTTCACGATTACCAATTACCGTTTGCTAATTATTTTCTAGGTGTGTTTTTGAATTTTCACACTTCCATATTTTATGCAATTTTATATATGTTTTTTTGAAATTCAGTGGCGCCTTCGCCATACTGTACTTATTAAAAACTATCAACCCACACCTAATAATTATTGGCTGAGCAAACCGAACATATTATGGGCTTTTTGTTAATTCGTTAACAAAAGGGGTTACAGGGTCACCTCCCGTCAGGATTGGAAATCCTGTACAAACTTGATGGCGGCTTATTCAACATAAACAGATTACGAGCCGAGACGAAAGTATCGACGACATCGAGAATTGAACTCCAATACGATGATAACGTTGTGATGGACGATACAGAGGAAGATGTTCAGGCAATTATGAATGCATTCAATCAGGCATGCAGGAGAATCGGACTAGAGGTTAACCTTAACTTCGTTTAAGTCATAGTCGATACGGGGTGAATTACTATAGACCTCTATTTTATAATGCACTGCCTAGGAATGTGCAAACATTATATGATAAGACCTTTTTAAAAACCATAAAAAATCACCTACATAGGCATGCATTTTACAATTGCACTGACTTTCTGCATTCTGAAATTTCATAGGGGGATGAGCAGAGTTTATTTATATTTCTATATTGTGATTGCTTGTGATATTTATGTAGAAGATTGTGATATTCATGTAAAAGTTATTAATTGTTTATGCACTTTGTAAATGTTCATTTCAAATTTTAAACAAGTGAATCGTAAATTTTAATATTAGTATAAGTGATTTGAAAAATTAATTATTGCTGTGATTTTAGATATCTGTTCTTAGAAATAACTAATCATAAACTATCTTTTTTCCTGTTGACGTGTGCAAACAATTATGTATTATAAAGCATGAAAATAAATTTGAATTTGTATTTGAATAACAAGACGCAGATTCTGCACTAACCGGCACCCAATACTAATCCCCAAGCCCCTAATATAGCCAGAAATGACCATTCTTTGCAGAACGTACAACACCACCCATACTTTGGGAGCCATCTATCAGAGAATGAGAATTGACGCTGAAATCCAATATTGCTTGAAGTGTGCTAGCGCGGCATTCGGGCGACTTTCAGAGAGAGTCTTCAACAACCACGATATCAGCGCTGAGACCAAACTTCGCGTCTACAATGCAGTTGTAGCATATGGCTGCGAAACATGGATCACCTATACATAAGAAGGATCCTATGGATTAAATGGCAAGACCAACGAACAAACATCACTGTTTTAGAGGAGGTCAAAACAACTAGCATGGAAGCACCAACTTCGCTATATAGGTCACCTCTTCCGCATGCCCGAAACACGTCTTCCACGATAGATTCTCTACAGTCATCTGAAAGAGGAATAACGAAATTAGGGAGGTAGAAAAAAAACGAATCGCATCGATACCAGCAATTGGAAGTCAACAGCGAATTCTAGGCCCTCATGGTGTCGAGTAGTCGACATACCACAAACTTTTGGAAAACAGCCCTTTCTGCCTTTGATCGAAGAATGACTAGTAACTTTGTCTCAAGTTGGCTGGTGCCACAGTCCGTTCTGTTCATCATAAGTGACTACATTGAAAAGCTAGTCCCGAGATTCCATCCAGAGTCCTTATTCTTGAAACAGGGGAGCAGGGAGCAGCGTTCCCAGAAGAACGAGTGTTCCATCTTTGTTACAAAAATTTGGAAGTGTCACTTTACCTGTGTCACTTCGCTCTTCGATTTCCCTCACTGATTTCCCTATTCGACTTCCCTCACCGATTTCCCTCACTGTAATTTATTTACCTTTGCTGGCAACAATGAGAACATGTCAGGTGAAAACGTCAAAACAGTGAATGACACATTTTGGGATGTTTGTTTTATTTTTTTAATATTTAAAAAATTAAATGACTAATCATAATTAATGGTGTGCTTGCAAATAAAATAGTATACAAACCTCGGAGGAAAGTTTTCATTTCTGTCTCGACATTAATAGTCTATATAAATCTCTCGACAGTAATGAAACACTTCCCTACTCGGTATGTAATATACTATTCTATGGGTCAGGCAGTAATAATCGGGTCGCGCCGCTGTCACGTCATGTGCTGCTGGTGTCGACAATGTCAAATCTATCAAAAACTGCATACATAACAACATAACCATAATCCTAATCTACCTGCTCGAAGTTCGAAGTGCTCGTCACTGTCATCGGAATTTTGTTGCTGAGTGACGTCACACTAGTTGGTCGTTTCAAATGGTGATGTTTCGAGTGTAACTTCAAATATTTATAAAAAATTAACGGCTGATTTTTAATGCTTGATATTTGGCATGACTATGTCTTTAGTGTAGTAGAACACATTTTTGAAATTAAAAAAAATGTGCAAGTTCCCTATTCTCAATCAAATCAAATATATCTTCTATCCATATAGTTGTGTCCCTTTTGGATGAGCCAACAGAGGGTTTTTCCTTCACACTGTTCGGTAAAGCATTGAATATTTTTACGTCAGAATAACTAAATGAGCCCCGAAACATGGAAGTTTTATGTTTTGAGACCAACAAATTTCGAGGGTTACGCGATTGCTGTATTGCCAACATTGATTTTGACTTTTATCGTTAAAAAAAAATAGACTCTAGGTACTACTTGAAGGCTATTGAATTTTTATGAATTATTCTACGACAAACCTTTTTGAAATGAACCTTAGGTCTTTTTTCATGTATTTCACCCACTGTATAAAAGAATCAAGACAAATGTGTCAGATGAAACTGAATACCAGCATAAATCATTGTCAAAAACATCCTATCATCACATCAGTTTCTTTCACAACTCACCATCATGTTTGGCAAAATTTCTCGTACCTAAATCCATTTTCACACAAAAATGGCCTCGTACGTCCCAAAAACCTTGCCTGTGGGTATCGATCTTGGAACTACTTATTCTGTTGTAGGAGTTTTCAAAAACGGCGTGGTTGAAATTATTGCAAATGATGAGGGAAATCGTACGACCCCTAGTTATGTGGCTTTTACTGGTAATTTCAAATTTACAATTTGTCCCTGAAACATTAGGGTAACATCATATTTTTCCAGATACTGAACGGCTTATCGGAGATAGTGCCAGAGGCCAGGTTGCTATGAACCCATCGAATACCGTTTACGGTGTGAAAAGACTCATAGGAAGAAAATTCGATGATCCCGTGGTAAAACAAGACATAAAAAATTGGCCGTTTGAAGTTGTTAACGACAAAGGTCAGCTGAATTTGAGCTGAGATAAATTTGAATAACGATTTTGTTTGAATTAGGTAAGCCCAAAATTAAAGTGAACTATAAGGGAGAAAATAAAACATTTTTCCCTGAAGAAATTTCCGCAATGGTTCTTACCAAAATGAAAGAAACTGCTGAAGCATATCTAGGTAAGATACTCGATTCCGCAATAGTTTTAAAGCGCTTCTTCTAATTTATATATTCAAGGTGGTCACGTATCAACGGCAGTAGTAACAGTTCCAGCATACTTTAACGATTCCCAAAGGCAGGCCACCAAAGACGCAGGTACCATTTCTGGTTTGATTGTTAAAAGAATAATCAATGAACCCACAGCAGCCGCTATTGCCTACGGTTTAGACAAAAAAGTTGATAAAGATCGATACGTGCTGATATTTGATTTTGGTGGTGGCACGTTGGATGTATCCATTTTGCAGATTGCTGGCGGTTTATTTGAAGTACTATCCACTGCTGGAGATACACACTTAGGTTAGACAGTTCTAATGTTTTTCAAAAACATTACATATTGCTATCTTCATTTTTATACTAATATCAAAAAAAGCTAGAATTATATTCCATAGTGACTGTACAATAATTATCTTATTCTATTGACTTTTTTAGGTGGAGAAGACATCGATCACAGAATGGTTCAGTTCTTTAATGAAGAGTACAGGAGAAAATTCAAAGGAGACTTAACTGGAAATAAACGAGCACTGAGAAGACTGGAAACTGCTTGCGAACGTGCTAAAAGAAGTCTTTCGAACTCGAACCAGGCTAGCATCGAAATCGATTCTATTGCAGACGGAAATGATTTTTATACGAATCTTACGAGAGCCAAATTTGAAGAAATTAATAGTGATATTTTCGTTTCAACCCTGGCACCTGTAGAAAAAGCAGTTAGAGATGCAAAACTCAGAAAGGATCAGATAGACGAAATTGTTTTAGTTGGTGGTGAGTATATTTTGACATAAAGCTTGCCCATTTATTCGTAGTAGGTAGGTAATCTATTTGCTTTATTTCAGGATCAACCAGAATTCCAAAAATCCAATCCATGCTCCAGTCTATGTTTCAAGGCAAAGAGCTAAACAAATCTATAAATCCAGATGAAGCTGTTGCTTATGGAGCCGCAGTACAAGCTGCCATCTTAGAAGGAGATACACATGCAGTAGTGCAAGATGTTCTTCTGCTCGGTATATTTTGTTCTATTAATATGAATTACCTCTTCATCAAGTATATTTTTTTGTAGATGTCGCTCCTTTATCATTGGGTATAGAAACAGCTGGAGGTGTGATGACAATTATTATTAAAAGAAATACTACCATCCCAATTAAGCGAACTCAAACATTTTCAACGTTTGCAGATAATCAACCTGGTGTACTCATCCAAGTTTATGAAGGTGAAAGAAGCATGACAGGGGATAATAATTTGCTGGGAAGATTTGATTTGACTGGCATCCCACCAGCCCCTAGAGGCATTCCACAAATTGAAGTTAGAAATTTCCTATAATTGTTATTTCTTTTAGTAGATACAGATATATTTTTTTAGGTTACTTTTGATCTCGATGCCAATGGGATTCTAACAGTTACCGCCAAAGACCAAGGAACCGGAAAAGCAACTAATATTACCATCACCAGCGACAAAAACCGCTTATCGAAAGCCGAAATCGAAAAAATCATAGACGAAGCTGAAAAATTCAAAGAGCATGACCAAGAAATTCGTGCCGCCATTGCTGCACGGAACGAATTAGAATCGTACATATATCAAATAAAAAACTTATTGAAAGATTCAGCATCTGGCAGCAAAATAACAGCTGAGGAAAGAAGAGTTGCCAGAACTTTGTGCGATGACGCAGAAAATTGGCTCAAAAACACTGATAGAGCTTCAGAAAGGGAGTATGCGACTAGAAAAGAACGAATTGAAGAACACTGCAGGCCTTTTGTTTTACGATTTTATTCTCCTGATAGTGGACCTAGTCAACCAAACTTTAATACATACAATGACAATGATGGAGGGCCAGTTATTGATGAAGTTGATTAAAAATAAGAAGATATTAACGCATCTTTGGTCAAAAACATGTAACGTATTGAGGTCGAAATAAATTCTTTACACAGTAAGTCTATTTTTTCCTTGAAGTTATAGTTGATTTATGTTTAAAGGGGGTGTGACCTTAAAAAACGACTTGAGCCACTTAAATCAAGAATTTTTTTTTTAAGATCTTTCGTGAAAACCGCAGTCCTATATTCAAAATAGCCTCCAAGAAAATTCCTTGTGAAGATAAATTATGCAGGAGCTTGTGATGTCACAACCGCCGAAATCGCAGTCTTCTATTCGTTCAGTCGTCAGTGAACCGTACCCTATACTTTGGGTGGTTCCAATTCGCTCTAGGAGATAATTGTTCTTTGTTTTGAGAAATTCTTACACGTGTTAATACTGTCCCGGATAAGCCAGTGTGACGTGTTACGTCACAAACACCTAGTTGTACCTTTAAGCCGCCCTAACTCGAAAACGGACCATCGTAGCAAGATGCGATTTAAATATTTATTCTTAGATTTTTTTGCACTAAAACTTTCATTTTTGGTGGCATAATTGAATAAAGCAACTAAAAATAGAATTTGTCTAGAAGCGTGCGTTTTGTCCACTTTCCCGCACGCATTTTAATTCGGAAACTATCTTTTTCCCGCACGGCATACCTGGAACACCTGTATAGTTTAGATAGTTATTTAAAATAAAATTTATAAAAATATATAAAGTGTGTGCTTGTAGAGAAAATCTTGATCCTAACTCTTGCGGAAAGTTACTGTCCCGCACTTAACTGCTTGCCCGAACTCCGCTTCGCGTCGTTCGGGCATCGGCAGTTCGCGTGCGGGAGAGTATAACTTTCCGCACTTGTTAGGATAATAATTTTGACAGTGTTGCCAGCTCTGAAAATTTGAAATATATTTAATTCTAAAATTGAGGCAAAATACCAAGAAAAATAGTTACTTAGGGATTCATGAGTTAATTTTTTTAAAACTATTATCTTACACAATTTAAATTTTTTGTAATCAGATTTATTTATTTTTTCTCACGACGCACAACATTTAGTCACTACTGGCAACAGCGCAATCAAAACTTTAAGCCATCGGCAACCGGAACAGCTGTTCGTGCTTTGTCGATGATGGAGTTTTCTTAAATTTGATTGGTAGAAGATGCTTATACCGCTACAGCGCTACTCTCCATTAAAACAAATGCAGAGGGAATCGATGGTCTTACATCGGTTATGCTTAAATTGTGTAGGTCGGCATGCCTGGATCCACTTCTTAATATAGTCAATACCTCTCTTTTAGATGGAAAATTACCCACTTTATGGAAATCAGCTCAGTATTATAGGTATGTATGTTATCTCAAAAACTCTTAAAATCACTTTTTAAAAAAAACACTAATTTATTTAAAAATACAAGTTACAATTAAAATCGGACATTAGGCCGGCATAGACACACGTTCTTTCGCGCGGTTTATCGTGTCATCTGCAAAAACTTGTGAAAAATCATGTGCGTGAGTGAGGAGGGCTACACGCAATGATAGAATGGGAAGGGATTTCAGACGTGCTTTCATCTGGAATGTGACGTCTCAGTACTCAAGTACATGATAGTGCAGTTCACAACCGTGTCCACACGCCATTCCACGTCACAGTTTTGAGGCTAGTACGGAGACATAAACGCCGCGTAGCAAACTATCACGTTGAAAATTAGTACATGACAACATGCACTTCCAAACGACACTATTAATGACACTTTTTACCCATACACATACGGTTTTTCCTTTCCAACTGATATGCCACGCGTAATCACGTGCTAAATCATTTGAATACTTTGTCAAGTGTATGGAATATGACGCTTTTTTTGCCACGCCGTTCTTTCGCGCGTGCAAACCGCTACATCCCAACACGCCACGATAAACCGCGCGAAATAACGTGTGTGTATGCCGGCCTATTAACTCAACTATACTAAATAATGACGAATAATGACGCTTAAGCTAAAGAGACAGGATCTTTTATAATTTAAAATATGTTGATATTGCTGTTTCTATGGGAGCGTTGCGACCATGGACCAGAGTTCTTGGCGTGACATGTTCTCACAGGATAACTTGCTGAAGTAGCGTCTAGACTTTGCGATACTTTGTACCACTGTGGTGATGAAACGCGTCTTGAGGTCAATGTAGTCGTGAAATCCATATAACAGCTCCCCCATTAAGTAAAAAGTTGGTGCTTTGCAACAATTTTTTCAAAGACCAACTGGGTTGTTGTGTAGACTGGTCATCTCTTATTCTGAGGGAAGATTTGGAAGAACGGTGTTTCTTCGTTTCGGTAAAAGCTTTCTAAGGTTGTTGCCTATTTGAAGACGTAAATGAGACTTCGCTGGTTGTCGTTCGTCTTCGTCGATAGGGCTAGGCTTGGAAGGTGCCTTTCGCCGATACTTACAACAAATGTAAATGATTACAAGAGCTGCTATTAGTACGATAATGAAGTAGGTGAACCATTGGCTGTGTCTTGATACGAATGGTTCTTGGATCAGTTTGTCCAGTTCATCGGAAAATTGGTTTAGTCTATGCTGTGCCACGTTTAGATCATCGATGTTGATTTTAGATAGTTTGAGTGGTTTCAAATCTGGCACATGAAAATCCACAGGCAGGTGTTTGCAGCAATCGTAGGGAATTTCCACTGGATTGCTTTAATAGGTGACGTTTCTGTATTTTTCTGCTAGATTCCTAGCATGAATTCTGGAGTTTCCTACAAAGGCATTGCAGGTTGGTTGGAGCTTGAGCACTGTGTTGGTGTTGATTGTTTCTGTCACACTATTTTTGCCATCACATCTGATAGTGATTGGAAGAGACGATGATTATGTTATCAGCCAGTAGTTTGTTTCTAGTTCTTGCACACATATAAACGCAAGTAGCGAACACGGCCAAGAACAAAGAACAGTCAATTCCGTCCGCCGTACCAACCAGAGGCCCAATTCTTGAAAAATATCGCATACGAAATTTGATGTGATTTCGAATGCTTCCCTTTCATTGCTGTCAGTCAAATTCGAATCAAATTTCGTATGCGATATTTTTCAAGAATTGGGCCACAGGGGCGTGCCGAGTTTCTTGGGGGCCCTCCCGCGAGATTTTCCTTGAGGGCCCCGAACAGTTTCGGCAAAAATAAAAGTAAACAAAAAATATTATAAAACAGTTCATTAAAGATCATAACATGAGATAAAAAATAAGTACTACTCTGGTAAAAAAAAACAGATATAAAAATTATGAAAAAATTTGTGAAAATCAAAAAATAATAACCAAACTCTGGTTCAAGCAAAACTAAAACTAAGAAATAATAGAGAAAAGTGTAATAATAGTTATTTATATAATAAATACATAAAGTAAGGCTTTATTGTACGAATAATTTTATGGCCGAGCGAGCTTGCGAGCGAGGCTATTAAATAATGAGTCAATAAAGCCTGTTTATGTAAGCGTTATATACATGATTTTATGTACGATTACAACTGGTTTTTGTTAAAAATTTAAAAAAAATTAATGAAAAAAGTAAAATTTGCGTAGGTATACCTGTTTCACCTTGGCAGGTTGTCAGGACCTGTTTCACCTTGGCAGGTTGTCAGGACCTGTTTCAACTTGTCAGGTAGTCCAGGTAGGCAATAAAGTAGCACTTTATTCTACTAGTAAAATAAAGTAGCACTTTATTGTACTAGTACAATAAAGTGCTACTTTATTGAGGCAAAACTGTTCTATAAATAGCACTTTATTGGTCAATCGGACATAAAACCATTTTCTCTAATGGGCCACTTTCAAGTACCGGAAATATGGCAAATTATGATATTTTTTGACGCGGATACATCAATGCAACCGAGAATGAACAATATTTTTCAAGATTTTAAATAATAATAAATTAATAAATAAAAACTAAAAATTTAAACGAAAAATCACGTAATTGAAAACGCTCTCTGATTGGCTAAAGCCGATTTTGACGTTTTTGTTGCCACATATAGAAATGCGAAATTTAAATGAGTTAATAAGGATTATACGTACCTATCCTTTATTTTTTTATAATGTAATAAAGGACGAAAATAGTTTCTAGCTAGTGAAATGTGTAATGATTTACCAGTGAGAAATTTGGCATCCTTTCCGGTTGAGCTAAGGTAACCGCAAGGACTAAAAATAGTTGGAAGACAGATCACAATTCTGGTATACTATCTTCGATTTTTTTTTTAAATTTTCTTCAACTGACACTCGAATTGACATAAGTGGAAAAATATTTTGTGTGAATTTGGGGGCCCCAAATATCCCGGGGCCCTCCCGCACCGCGGGCCCTGCGGGCCCGTCAGGCACGCCACTGGTACCGACCAGACCAGCAGCTACCTACCCATACTGAGGTAACCTGCTAATACCGTTTCCGAACCGTCAGCGCCGACCCGACCGTTACCGACCCACCGTTGCCGAGTCATATCCAGGTGAGTGAGGTGCTGATATGCTGCGACGTACCTGGATTGAATGGGGCTATGTGATTGTAACACGTACACGGTGGCCCTATTCTTTCCATGACGGACATGAGGGGGCCATGTGATTGGAACACGTTACACGGTGGCGCTCTCTTTCCTTACGTATCGGTATAGCAGTACTCATCGCTCTATCTGGAATATGCGCTCCCACACAATCTGGATGAGGGAGGTACTTATACATTGCGACATACCTGGATTGAATGAGGTTTACCTTATTTTTTCTAGGACGGACACGAGGGGGCCATGTGATTGGAACACGTTACACGATGGCGCTCTCTGTCCTTACGTATCAGTGTAGCAAGTGCTCATCGCTCTATCCAGATTATTAACAAGCCAGATTAATTAACCAAGCCGGCGCTGAAGGGACGGAACCGACCGTTAATGTCCGTTGGAGCTTCTTTCCGATTTTTTACCGTCATCTAACCGTTTTCACCGTACTGAGGGGCTTACATTGTTGGATATTGTGTCTTTCATTTTGAGGAAAATGCGCATAGACCTCTGGTTTTTCCGTCTCCACTGTTTAAAAGCTACCTAGTGCACGTGGGCCCTTAACCACTTTAATCCTAAGGGTGGCGCCCGAG